CTGCCGGAGCCGGCGCTGGCCAGAGCACGGCTCCCCAGGGCGGCCGCTGCCAGCGCCGGCCTTGAGCCCTGGCGCCCGGGCCTCCAGCGTCGGAAGATGCACCACATGCTCCGCTCCAAGTCCTCCCGTCCACGGAGGGGAATGGGATGATCTGCTTCCCCTGGAACGGGAAAAAGAGGCTTTGAGAATCCTAACTGCAGACAAGTGTAACAAATGGCACACGCCTGTAATCCCAACTACTGGAGGCAGGAGAATCTAAATTCAAGGCCAGGCTGGACAAAACAACAAAATGGGTGGGGATACCGGGCATGGTGCTGCACACCTGTAATCCCAGCATTCTGAAGGCTGAGGCAGGCGAATCTCGAGTTAGATGCCAACCTGGGCTACATAGTGAGTTCAAGGCCACCATGAACTATATAGTGAAACCCTGCCCCACCTCAGAAAAAAGAGTAGGGGCGAGCACAGGGTCAATGCCTGGGGAGCTAGGAGGAGGCAGAGCAGAACAAATGTAGGAATCTCAGTACTGGGCCACCTGTGCCAAGACCTACATGATTGGGCATTGGAGACTCGTCCCTCTGAACGCTGGAAGGTCCCCAGAAAGTACGCAAGTCCATCTGTCCATGAACCTGGAGGCTGGAAGCCTTCCTGCTGGAAGATGGGAGAAAAAGAAAAGGGGCCTCACTCACTCACTCCTCACAGGGGCTGAGGCCACCAGGTGGGCGCTAGGCACTACGTTTTACACTATCAGAACACAAAAGAAACATGAGAAAAAAGTTTTTCTGCTCTACCAATGAGAAGAAGAAAAAGAGGAAAAGAAAAGAAATATATTGTTGAAACACGGTCTGGGGCTAGGGAGAGACACAAGAGTTCAGTAAGGTGATACCTGGACACTCAAGGTTAAAAGCTCCACAGACAAGGACATCGGAGAAAGCCCCCCTGTGAGGCTCTGACCACCATGAGGCAAAACAAGAACAAAGAAACCCTGACAAAGCGCCCTTACTCTTCCCTTGACCCCTGCACCACGTAACAATAGCCTAGCACTGGAGGCAGAGTGAGACAAGGAGAAAAAGGATTCCTCCTCCCTCTTTCCCGTGTGGCACTGGAGAAGCTGGTGGCAGGGCCTCTAGAAAGCCGTGTCTGGAGTAGAAACACCAAGAGTAACATGCAGAGACCCAGGCCCCACACCAGCACAGCGGGCCACAGCTCAGCTCTTCCCCATTGACGCCACACTCTTCACTAACAGCCTCACAGGATACAAGGCACAGGTTTGATTTACCTCACTCACACCATCCCATTATATTCAAGGTCTGGCATTCCATAAAAAATCAGCAGACACAACAAAGCAAAACAAATAAATGACTCCTTCTCAAGAGGCAAGGAGTCAACAGAACCAGAAAAGATGACCTCTCTGGATGCTAGAACCATCAAAGACACTAAAAAAAAGCCAAGGTGAACACCACAAATGAGTTGACTGAAAAGACAGACAATAAGTTGAACAGAACTGCAGCAAATCTTGGCAACTGTTAAAAAACATACGAAGAATATAATACTGGAGATCACTTCTTATTGGCTACAGCAGAGAAGAGAATCGGTAAAACTGAAGGTTAGGTTAACAGATCAAATGGAAATGTTCAGAGAAGTGGGAAATGGAGAAGGGAGGAGAATGGAAGAGCTGAGACCCATCCGCACGACTGGAAGACTTTGGGACCGTATCAAGCTATCTAACATATGGATACCTGGAGTTGTCCTCGGAGACGGAGTGGCAGAGGGGAGAAGGACAGACAACAGAGAAGGGGAAATATCGGAAGAAATGACTGCTGAGACTTTTCCAAAATTAGTAGAAGACAAGCATCATGGATTCCAGAAGATTTGAGTAGGATTAATACAAAGAAAACCATATCTAAACACATCATAGTCAAACTGCTGAAACATGAATATCAGAATAGTCAGACAAAAAAGACATATGTATAGATAAATCAACATAAGAATGACAGCAAACTTCTTGCTAGAAAACATGCAACCCAGAAGATAATTGAAGGACAATTCTAAAGTAATAGAATCCCTAAGCTTTGTTTACTGAACTTAATACATATGCCTAAAATAGTCTCTGGATCCAGTGAATACATCTTTAAAAATAAAGATTATAGTCTAGATAAAATGGCCAACTCCTTGAAAGATATACCAAAATGCACACAGCAAGCAGCAGACACTTTTAGTGAGCCAAAATCTATTATGGAGATGGAATCAAGAATTAACAATCTTTCAGGGGTGGGGATTTAGCTCAGCGGCACAGTGCCTGCCTGGCAAGTGCAAGGTCATGAGTTCGATTTCCGATACCAGAAAAAAAAAAAAGAATTAAAAATCTTCCAAAACAGAAAGCACCAAGCCTAGATGGGCTCTCATGGTGAATTCTACCAACCAGTAAAGGAAGAAAGTACAGTGCTATCCCAATTCTCTACTGACTCTTAAGATTGAAGCACACGGATTATTTCCTAACACTTCCATGGATCCAACACCACTTTGCTACCAAAACCAAACAAAAATATTACAAGATTTGTTCTTGGTTGATTTTTTGATGATAGCCATTCTTTCTGGGGTGAGATGAAATCTCAATGTTTTAATTTGCATTTCTCAAATGACCAATGATGTTGAACATTTTTTCATATATTTATCTGCCATTTGTATTTCTTCATCTGAGATGTGTGTATTCATCAGAGATGCTGGTGAGGCTGTGAAGAAAAAGGACCCCTTCTCCACTGTTGGTGGGAATGTAGACTGGCATGATACCTTATGGTGAGAAACCTGAAGCTTTTTAGTGACTGAGAATAAGAAAAATATGTCCTTTCTCACTCTTCCATTTCAACATTATATCAGAAGTCCTAGCTAATGCAATAAGGAAAGGAAATAAAAGATACACAGCCTGGGAAGGAAGAAATAAAAATTCCTTTCAGGTGCTATGATCATCTATGTAGAAAATCTGAAGACACTGACCAAATAAACAAAAAGTCAAATAAAACAAAAACTCCTGGAACTGGCCAGCAATTACAGTGAGATTGCTGGATATAAGGTCAATATACAAAAGTTACTTGCTAGCCAGCTGTCATGAACACATCTGGATTCTCAGCACTTGGGAGGCTGAGGCAGGTGAATCACAACTTTGAGTCCTACCTGAGCAACTTAGTGAGACTGTGTCTCAAAATTAAATAATAAAGAAGGGCTGAGAATGTACTTTGAAAGCAAGCAAGCTCAGGTGCTTATTACTAGCAATGAAGAAGTGAAATCTGAAATGGAAATAATACCATTTAATTTAGCACTCCAAAGAAGTAGGAATAAATCTAACAAAATACGTGTAAGATCTGTATGAGAAAAAGTATAAAACTCTGATGGAAGAGATCAAAAAATTAAATAAATGGCAAGATACTGCATGTTCAGGAAGGTTTGATACTATCAAAATGACAGCTGCTTCCAACTTGATCTACAGATTCAATACAATCTCAATAATAAGTCCAGAGTTATTTTGCACATATTGACAAACTGATCTAAGGTTTATAGACAGAGGTAAAATATCCTCCTAATAACCACAAAATATTGAAGAAGAACAAAGGAGGTACTGATACTGCTTGACTGCAAATGTTTACCTTAAAGCTACAATAATCTAGACAGTGTGGTATGGGTGAAAGAAAAGACAAATAAATCAATGGAACTGCATAAGCACCCAGAAATAAATCCACAAAAATACAGTCAATTAATCTTTGACAAAGGAGCAAGGTCAACACAATGGAGCAAATGTAGCCTTTTCAATAAAGGGTGCTAGAATGACCAGAGACACACATGCACACAAATCTAAACAGACTTTGTGCCCTTCATAAAAATTAATTCAAAATGGACCTAAATGTAAAACACAAACTATAAAGTGCCTAGAAGATAAGAGAGAAGATCTAGATGTCCTTAGATTTCACAATGACTTTTTAGATATGACACTAAAGGCACAATAGATAAAAGGAAAAAATTAGACCTGGACTTCATTAAAATAAAAGGTTCTACTTTGCTAATATATTGTCCAAAGAATGAAAAGACAAGCCAATGACTGGAAGAAAATATTTTCAGAATACATATGTAATTAAAAAACTGTTTTCCAAAATATACAAATTAATACACTCTTAAAACACGAGACCCTTCGGTTCATGAGCATAGTGACTGGGTGTTCATGCCATCTGCATGAGATGTGCCTCCCTCAAACCTTGTTACAGCATCGGCATATTACCTGTCTGATGTGAAAAAAAAAAGTAATGATAGGCCAGGTATGGTGGCATGTGCCCATAATCCCAGCACTTAGGAGGCTGAGGCAGGAGAATTGTTGCAAGTTCAAGACCAGCCTGGGCTATGAAGTGAGCTCAAGGCCAGCTTGAACTACACAGCAAGACCCTGTCTCAAAAAGACACACACACACACACACACACACACACACACACAAAACATAATTATAATAACTTGATTTTTAAAAGATGGCCAAAGACCTCAATAGACTTCTCATCAGAGAACACATTCAGATAGCAAATAAGCACATGAAAAGATACTTCACACCATATGTCACCAGGGAAATGCAAATTAAGACAATGAACACCATGGCACACCTATTAGAACTACCAAAACCTAGACTACCAACACTGCCAAATGCTGACGAAGATGTAGAGCAACAGAAATTCTCATTCGCTGCTGGTAGGAATACAAACTGGTACAGCTGCTTTGGAGAACAGTTTGATGATTTCTTACAAAACTAAATGTTCTCTTACCATATAACCCAGTAACTGTCCTCCTTGGTATTTACCTAAAGGAGCTGAAGATGTATGTCCACATGAAAACTTGAACATAGGTTTTATAGCAGCTTTATTCATAATTCCCAAAGCCAGGGAGGGACCAAGATGCTCTTCAGCAGGCAGATGGATACATAAACTGTTACACCTACATAATAGAATATTATTCATCACTAAAAAGGAATGAACTAGCAAGTATAAAAAGACAGGGAGGAAACTTAAATGCATATTACTCCGTGCAAGAGGCCAGTCTAACCAGGCTACAGGCTATAATTTCAACCATGGCATTTTGGAGACAGTAAAAAAGATCAATGTTTTCCAGGGGTTGAAGGGAGGATTAGGGGGAGCAGGGAAAATTTTTAGATTAATAAAACTACGCGTATGATACATCAATGGTGGATACATGTATAAATATACATTTGTACAAACTCATAGAACACACAATACCAAGAGTGAACCCTAAGGTAAACTATGAACTCTGAGTAACGATGTGTGTCAATACAGGTTCATCAGCTGTAATGAATGTACCACACTGTTGGGGAACGCTGACAGTGTGGGAGGTTGTGCATGTGTGGGGGCAGAGGGTATATGGGAAATCTCTGTATCTTCCTCTCAATTTTTCTATGAAACTAAAACTGCTCTAAAAATTAAATCATAAAAAAATGTAGTCTGACTGCCTTTTTAATGTTTGATCACTGATAGTTCTAAAGTCCTGTCCCTCCCTCTTCACCTCTTGCCCCTGGGACTGTCAGTAAGAAAGCCCTAGTGTTCCTGTTCTGGGTCTGGGTGTGGAAGTTCAAATTCTATAAATCTAATCCATACACAGGCATC